TTATTTTTATTGAGCTTAAAATCTTTTANTAAGAAANAAACCTTTCATATTTTATAGAATATNTAGNTCTTAAAAATATTCTAGAANATTTTTGTTTTCTTTAAACATTTTAGAAATATGCTTACATCAGTTTATTTTTACTATGACAGTTATTTTCTACGTATCTATAAAATTCGTAAACACGTTCGAATTTCTTTAGTATGTGTAATATGTATTTTTGGTAGAAAAATAATTTAAAATTATTTTGACTAACAAAATCTTGTATTATATTGTATTTATTAATTTTCATTTTCATACATTTCACTTAGCTTTTGGCGTATTTAATCTTATAAATATGATTTAGTANTTACTAAAAACAATAATTATGATTTAGTATGTATTAAATAGATATTTTTAAAATACTTAAATGTTTTAAAAAGTATTTTTGTCTATGTAGAAGAGATAACTCCCTAGTTATATAAATAGATTAGAGAGATAACCCAAAGCCCAATTATATAAAACGATCAAAAGCGACAACGTATCACAAGATCCGGGTCAACTGTCAACTGACTTGTTTTTTTTTTTTAAGTGCCGAACACAAAAAGAAACTGCGAAGAAGAAAAAAAACAGCAAACATGTCGAAAAACCAGATTACGCTGCTGCACTGCGTGTCTTCTTTTTTACTAGCCGCCGTCGTCGTCTCCGTTAATTCGACATCTCCTCTCGTCGGTGTTCATCCATTAGGTTTTTTTAAACTTCGATTTTTGTTTTCATCGACAAATTTGGAAACTTTTTTTGTTATTTTTGATTCTCTGATTCGTATTAACTTTCAGATGAAAAGTATTTCGAGTCAGATATTATCAGATGCAAAGATGGATCCAAATCATTCTTTAGAGACCGTCTCAACGACAACTTCTGCGATTGTCTTGATGGTACCGATGAGCCTGGTACTCACTTTCCTTTTCACCTTTTTCTCCAATCTGATTGATGGGCACAACGAAATTTAACAACTTTTTTAGATTCCAGAGAGCTGTGATTAAAAAGTAGAAATTTTTGAGCTCGGATTAAAATCATTGTATCGTGTTCTGTTTAACAACTTCAATTCTGACCAATTGTGTTAGGATGCAAATTGATTGGTTATATATCATGTTTTTACTTCAGGAACTTCGGCTTGCCCAAATGGCAAATTTTACTGCAGGAACATTGGAAGTTCTCCAAAGTTTGTTTATTCGTCTCGTGTCAATGATCGAATCTGTGGTCAGTAACATGTTCTGAATGATTCTAGTTTAAGCAATTTAAGCTCTTTTGGTGTATGATCATCCATAGAACACGAATCTACATGTTTGTTGGATAACACAATAGTTTGCAGTATGACATTGTTTATCTCAGATTGCTGCGATGGAAGTGACGAGTACGAAGGTAGCGTTCGTTGTCCCAACACATGTATAATGGGCGGTAACTTAAACTACGTATACAAGCCTAGAACCGATCGTAAATCTATTGATAGACAGCTCGGTTCATCAAGGACTGGTCTAAATGAATTGAAAACCACTATGAATCTTCAGGACATGGTCAAGAATCTCCAAGGTTTTGCTTCTTTTTTTGGGAATGGTAATCTGTTTTTATCCCATTGTCGTGCAAACCAAAAGAAGAAATGTTGTTGTTTGCAGGTATGAAGCTTTTCTTTGTCCTCCAGCTGGTTTTGATAGGTTTCTTGGTGATCCTATGGATGATTAGGTATCGCGTTCGGTCTAAGAGGAGACGATATCTGCTGAACAATATACCTCCGTATAGATCAGTAAACTAATTCTCTGGAACATTGATTATAGATTCTTGAAGCTTTTACGCAAAAACTGAATGCTACAATCACATATGTTAAGTGTCATTAGTAGCTGAAACTGTATTCAAGTGTGAGATTGTTTGTTCCTTGGATTGTAATTGTCTAGTTTTTCATGTGTTTTTAGCCATTAGATCCTCAGAAACCAAAGAAGGTAATCTTGAGTTTTATCACAGCTAGATGATCTCATGATATGCATATTTTCTAGAAATGGAGATTTTTTTTATTATAAATACTTGCAGAGCTGTTTCATCTTGAACTAGTTGAGGGTGAAACGATTAGGGAATGGTCTTCTTCGACAAACCTAAAAGAGCATATGAAAGCGGAAACCGGAAGCAAAGATCACATCCAGATTACAGCGGACGAGGTTGGCATGAATCAAGAAAGCTACTGATGAAAAAATAAAGAAGACCAGAAGAGATCTTAGTATATGGATCTCTAGTCTCTAATTTTCTCGGTCATCGTGGAAACCTGTCTTCCTTGACCCGAAAATTCGCCAGAAAGAAGTCTCTTGAGATTGATCGATCTGTCATAGTGAAACTAGCGGAATCTAATCGATGATCTATATATGGCTAGTTGCAAGGCTTTGGACACGTCTATCAATTGGAGAAGGCCCTATCGACCAAAGCGGAAGTGTAGCTTACAAGCGGGAAAACAGAGATGATACTGATTCTCAGGACATTACCTTATGTTTTGCGATTGATATTTGTTGGAAAGTTTGCTTATCTTCTCTTAGAGGAATTCAAGGGAAATATCTAAGTTCATGTTCTAACGGTTAGAGCAAAATGAAAATTAGATTCGTATTTGGCTCTTCCTGACTTGGTACTTTGTAATATTGACGAATTAAAAAGCACAAGAAGAACACTATAAATCGTAATGTAAATCAAGCTACTAAATCTTGCGACGACTTGTTCCAGTTCAGAGAGACACCAAGTCAAGAACATTATTATGTTAGCGTCCACACGATG